AGGTGGAGCGGGCGGGAGGGTCGGGTCCTGCCGCCGCCAAATGGAGCTGGGCCAGAATTTTTCTTCTGTCCTCAGGCTGGGCCCCAGGAAAGTTTTTCTGCCGGCTTTTTATTTGCCTATTTCAAACAACTTTTGTTGTTCTCGTGCTGGCGTGTCCCCTGATAAAAATGTCAGTGCCGTACAAGGGCACTAATATCTTTGAATCTGAGCTTTTTATATTCCGGTTTGCATTTTTAGTTGCCTTCAACAGAGTATTTTCACTAATAGGAGATACTGCTTTGCTGAGGATATGCAGGCCCTGGAGCAGGGGCTTGCAGGAGGGTGACTTACGGGGTGTAGAGGTCTCCCACCGCCGGGTAAAGGGCCAGGCCCCAAGTTCCTGTTGGGTTGAACGTTATAAAAATCCTGTGTTTGTTTTCCTTTCTAGTAAGGGAACAGCTGAAAGAGCTCACCAAGCAATATGAAAAATCAGAAAATGATCTCAAGGCCTTGCAGAGTGTCGGGCAGGTACGTATGAAAAATGAGAGGTGCTTGTCAGTGAAGTTGCCTGGAAGCAATATGCAAGTCCCTTTTTGTTGTGGAGAAAGAGTAACTGTGAACAGCCTGGCTGACAGAAACAGGGGCCTTTCTATCAAGAGCAGGCACACCAAATGTATCTGTTTGTCCTGGCTGACTGAGATGTGTTAAAGAAATAAAAGCCCTGGCAAACTGTGATGCAAGGGAAGAATTTCTAAGGTGACAGTCATCTTCCATGTCCTGAAACTCATGTTAAATGCTGGTTTGTGATGGTGATTTATCTGTGGGCTAATAATGAGCTTGTTCTTTTGCAGATTGTTGGCGAGGTTCTTAAACAGCTAACAGAAGAGAAGTGTAAGTACACTGCACTGTGGTGTTCTTTGAGATCTTGAAAATAAGCTTTTCTTGTCAAAATTTGGCTCAAGGTATGAGGGCATAAAGAATTGAGAGTATTGGTGATCTGAGTATTGGCAGAAAAATATGCTGGATACTTCTGAAGTGTGATTTAGAGCAGTGAATCAAATAAATTGATATTTTTCCTTAATCTTCTCTCTCCAGTCATTGTGAAGGCCACAAATGGACCAAGATACGTCGTTGGCTGTCGTCGTCAGGTAGCTGGTCTAGATGACTGTTCCTTAAAAGCTTGCTTTGGTCTTGAATATTAGCATTGCTTTTCATAAACTGGGTCCTTAGTGGGATTGTTTTCTTCTTTAAGTTGTATGTGGCTATTTTATACTGGTATCTGCTTGCCCTTGCACTTGGCAGCTGGTAGTTTAATGACTGCCCAGGAAAGACAAAGCAATCCCAACATTCCTGGAACTTCCCATCTCCTTTATTCTTTTTGTTGAGTTGTAGCTCAGGCTTCCTGCCTGATTCTGAGCTCTCTTAATCATCACTATGACATTTGATCAACTGTGGGAGGTCTCCATTGCCACATTGTGAGTGCAGGAGGAGTGTTTTTGTCATTGCTGAGCTCTAGGTTTCATCTGATACAGCTTTATCTTTTTCCTAATACTTTTACATTCCAATAAATAATTATAGTAAGGGCCCTGTTCTAAACACCTCAAGGGGTTTTTATTTGTTAATGATCTTGAAAAAAGCTTTGGCCCTTGACTCCACAGGACACCAGCTTTTTTTTACCTACATCAAATTCTCTAGTGATTAGAGAGTTTAATAGAGAGCTTGGCTTACAGCATAATGGGCAGCAACAACCATTTAGAGGTACACTTTGCTTTTTATTTTTACGGAAAAAGTAAAGTGATATGTTGCAGACATGGTTTAAATGCTTGTTGATTAATTGTGCACTGAATGTGACCCACTTGGAGTAATTAAATCCCAGAGCTTGGGCTATTTTTTACCAAAACTACCTATTAAATAAGAACCACGATACATGAAGTGTTCACTAACTGCAAGGCCATTGGGGGAGCAAAAGTGAATCTCTTATTCGATTTTTTTTTTTTTTTTTTTAACAACTGTGACCTCTTGGTGCATCTTGCACAGGTTCCTTTATGGTGCAGAAAGGTGGCTGCAGTTGAGGTTTTAACATGTGACTGTAGCATGTTCTGTGTTATGGAAGTTGCACAAAACAGAAATCCTTTCAATAAAAGGAGCACAGATGCCACACTGCTGTTAGAGGTGCTTTTATGTCTCTTTCTGAAGAGAGGCAGATCAGCACAAAATTTTGAGCTCTTACTGATTCTGTAAGAGAAAATGTTTGCAAGACTAAGGTGCAAATGTTTTGCAGTTCTCAAAGTGTCTGAATTAGTTTAACTTTTGTACATGGGAGTTAAACTGAAGAACAGTGTAATAGAACTCCAGTGTGTGAAAGTTAAACAGGGTTGGTTTATTTTGAATATTAGGGAAAATTTCTGCATGGAAGGGGTTGCCCAGGGCTGTGCCAGGCTGCCCAGGGCAGTGGTGGAGTCCCCACCCCTGGAGGGGTTTCCAAGCCGTGGAGATGTGGTGTGAGGGACACGGGGCAGTGGGGACCTGGCACTGCTGGGGAATGGTTGGACTCCATGACCTCAAAAGTCTCTTCCAACTGAAATGTGTCTGTGATTCCAACCAGTGCTATCCAGGGGATGGAGCTGTAGTGGTGGTGTGGTGGCTGCAGGAGCCAGGAGGCCACAGCAAGTGGGGAGCCTGCTGTATGCTGAAGAATTTACCAAGGGGCAAAGGGTTTTTTGGCTGCCAGAGAAACTTCTGGGGGAGGTTCATAATTAACAATACTTAGCAGTAAGCAGGGAGCAAAATTCATGCAGGAAAAAAAAATCATAAGTTTTTTCCTGTGGTGTTGACACTGTCAGTGGAGTGTATACTTCTCAGTAAGGATGGACCTTTTCTCTTCCTTTTAGAGACAAACTATTTGGGAAATGTGGGTACCAGTGTGTTAGTTCATAAAATGCAATCACAGACTGCTTTGGGTGGGAAGGGACCTTTCAAGGCCATCCAGTCCAACCCCCTGCCCTGAGCAGGGACATCTGCAGCTAGAGCAGGTTGCTCAGAGCCCCGGCCAACCTCACCTGGAATGGTTCCAGGGATGGTTTGTGTAGTGTATCTACAGATATCATGAACTTTCCCTGAGCACACCCAAGCCATATGTTTTTGCTTGCATAAAACATCTGCAAGAATTGCTGATATCAAAATGTTCTTCAAATATATAATTTTAAGCTTCCTTCCTTTCAAGATGCTACAGTGCAAACTCACTAATTTCTTTCACCAGAATGAATAAAATATTTTCTCTGGAACGTGAGTGTACTGCATTCCACTCGGGGGCACTTGAGGTTCTGCACTGGAACAGAGAGAAATGCTGAGGAATAGGTTGTGCTTGGATGAGCCTGGCACTGCAGCATGTGCTTTAGAGTTTATTCTTCAGTACAAACACACTTTGATCTTAAAAGATCCTTGATTTAAGACCAGAGTCTAAGAAATGTAGCTATTATTATTTTCAGAAGGTCAAAATATAAAATAAAGCAATAATGTCTTGTCAAAGGCAAAAAATTTCCTATGGAGTGTTTCACAGATGAGAACAATGAGGTTTTGATCCAAATTCCATTCTGCTGAGGACGGGGAGCAAAGCTGTTTACACTGAACCCAAATTATTTCCCTGTCTAAAGAGCATTTCCAAAAGAATTGAAGGCCAAATGATTTCTCTTTGTTTTCTTCCCACTGCAGAATAACTTAACTGTATTGTGAAGTGGGAATCTGATAGAATTCCAAACTTTTCCCAGTTTCACATTTTGCACATCCTGAGCAAGATGCTGTGTCAGTAAAGCTCAGGATAAATAGGTTTGATACTCAATTGGCATTTGAAGAATAACTCCTATTTAATGTTTTTAAAAGGAGAAAAAATTAGAGTGGCAAGATAATCTTGTGATTGTTCAAAGTTGAGGGAGGTGAGACAAGACCCAGTTTCTTAAAAACACTTTAAAAGTGAGAAATGCAAATGAGTTGTTTTAATCCCAGCAGAATTTAGCAGGAGGTACCTGAAGACATCTGCAGACGTGTTTCAAAACCTCATAAAAATACAGTAAGCACAAAAACTGCTGAGGCAGATGAGTAGAGCATCTGAGGTGAATGATAGCAAAAGAATAACAGCTGGAATGGCAGACTTTGAAGGGGGATAAGTGAAAATGCACAGATGATGCAAGGCTTGGAGAAAATAGGTTTGGAAGAGCTGTTCACTCTTTCTGTCCAGATGAGAGAGACTGAGTAGAAGGGTGGCAAGTTTGGACTCAAAACAGGCAGGCTGTTCCCTGTGTCCTTAAGCAGGATTGCTTCCTGGTCCTGATACTGTTGGTGCTGTCAAGCAGAGGGCAGGATGAGATTTCTCACTAATCCAGCCAGACTGACAGCAGTAAAAAAATGATAGTCTAGAAAGTAGTATTTTTTTTGTTTCTTAAGTGGCAGAGCTAAGTTAATGACTTGCTGTTTAAGATCTGTGTCAAGATTATAGAATTCTTCTGTGCTCTGGTTTACTGGTGTCCAGTTGTGACAACCAACAGGTTTGTTGGTCAAGGCTAGCTTCTGGATCATTTCTCCCATAGATCACATTCCCATCAAACAGTGGGCCAGCTTTTTCCCAGTATAAGCATTCCCAAAAATGGTGGTGACAGGAACACAGTGTTGGCATGTAGCTCAATAGCCTAATTTTCTTTTTGTATGTGATTGAGCAAACAGTGCAAGCAATAGTAAACACCTTTGCTGAAACCAGACAGTGTTTTGGAGTGTGGTTCTAATAGAAACACCTTTTTTTTGTGACTAGCTTGACAAAAGTAAGCTGAAACCAGGGACAAGAGTTGCTCTGGATATGACCACCCTGACTATTATGAGGTAGGTTTCTCTACAGCTCCTCTGCTCATCACATAAAGGGGGGGGAATATTGATCTGAGTAGTGACACAGAGGTTTGAATCATCAGCTACGTTGTGTAGACGTTTTCTGCAAAGTGGGGATTAAGTAAGGACAGTTACTTTGAGGGAAGACTTGTGTCTGTTATATATGGTTGAATAAGAATTTGGTTGTTCTTTAAAAGATCAATGCAGTGCAGCTCAGTATTTTCAGCAGCTTTCTAAGCATTTATTTGGTTTAAAACTTAAGCAAGTTTGCTGGGTTTGGGGTTTATTCTGTTTTCAACAACCATGCTTATCTTGTTATTGAGGTGGGAGGAGAATAAAACTTTTTCATGTTTGCCCTAAAACTTATTTCAATAACTTTTGTCACTGTGCAGACACATTTATGTCTACTCTTAACTCTTTTTTTTTTCCTTCCAGGTATTTGCCAAGGGAAGTGGATCCATTGGTTTATAACATGTCTCATGAAGATCCAGGGGATGTTTCATATTCTGAGATTGGAGGGTTGTCAGAACAAATCAGAGAGCTGCGAGAGGTATCCAGTATTTCAGAACCACTGGTCCAATGGAGGGATGTGTTCTGAGTGAGGTTTTTCAGTGCAGAAAAGTCTCACTGATGTTTATGCTAAGCTATTGTTAAAGGATCCTGTCAGATCAGAGCTTTCCACGTTTCATTAACTTCAGCTGTGTTTTCCTATACTAGAAGAGAACTCCTGAAGTGTTTTTTCAATGTTTTCCAGCTTTGTCATTGTCTTTGTGGCAAGCAGACGTGTGATTGTGGGGTGCTGGGATGCTTGTGCTGCAGTAACCCCCTTAGTTTGGGTACTGCAGGCTGTGCAAGCCTAAATTTCGTTGTAGCTAGGATTGACAACTTTGAATCTTGCACAAAAACTGCTAGAATCGCTCTGAGTAGTGGTGGTATGATGATAGCAAAGCATGGTTTGAGTAAAAAACGTCATGAGAAGCCATTGCAGAGCTGAAGTCTGAACAAGGGCAGGATTGTGGATTGATCCCTTAGATCAATTTGACATTTTATTACCTATTTCTTATATAATATATTCTGCACGGATAAATGAGGATACAGGTTGGCATGTGTCCTGTTAGCTCCCTAGGACTGATGGCCTATTTGAAAACTCAGAGTCTCTGTTTTCTCCATCTGTTTATCTGTCTCTTTGCAGGTAATAGAATTGCCTCTGACAAACCCAGAATTATTCCAGCGTGTGGGAATTATACCTCCAAAAGGCTGCTTGCTCTACGGCCCCCCTGGTGAGCCTCATGAAAGGGTAGTGAACACCCAGTTGCCACTTGCAAACTGTGGCAATAGCTTTATTTGGTTGTGGTTTTTTTCAGGGTTTGGGGGTTTTATTTCTTTGGTTTTGGGGGTTACTCATTAAACAGCTTCAATCTTTTGTCTGTCCAGGTACAGGGAAAACACTTCTGGCCAGAGCTGTTGCTAGCCAGCTTGACTGCAACTTCCTAAAGGTAGCATGGTTTTCCTTTGGCCTTCACACACACATGCTTGGCCTGTTTGCACGCCAGTCTCTTCATTCACCTGTCTCCTGCCTTTCACAAGGTGGTGTCGAGTTCCATAGTGGACAAATACATCGGTGAAAGTGCTCGGCTGATCAGAGAGATGTTCAACTACGCCAGAGACCATCAGCCCTGCATCATTTTCATGGATGAGATAGATGCTATTGGTAAGGCTGATGCTGGGGGATGGCTTGAGCCTCCTTTTAATGCTGAAATTAGCTGTAAAGCCACAATCTTTCTCAAAAGGGAGGACACAGGCATGTTTCTTCAGAATAAAGAGCACAAGTGGTTTAGATTCCTCCTGAGGTTCTGACAGCTAGCTGAGGACCATACCTGTTCATATCTGCCTTGGCTAGTTTTGAATATACGAAAAAGCATTTTCAAAATGTGTTTTAACTCTTTAAATATCACTTTAAATACCCTCCCCCCGGTTTAAAATAGATTCCTAATTGTCTTCAGACTTAGTTTACATGGAGGTAAAAATAAAAGTGCTAGAACTCATGAGTTTGGTGTGCTGCAGGTGGTCGCCGTTTTTCTGAAGGCACCTCAGCTGACAGAGAAATCCAGAGGACTCTGATGGAGGTGAGTGTTTCATCCCTGGCCACACTCTGGACACTCCACATGCAGTTCAGGTGGGAGTTGTCACCATATGATCTCCCTGGGGAGAACTTTTCTGAGTTAATAAGCTAGAAGTGAACAGGATGCTGCTTGTACAAAAGGCAGCTGTGCATTCAGATAACTCAGCTATGAATTCAGCCTGGAGACTAATGGAAAGAATCTTTAAACATGCTAAAATTATTTGGGATGTTTTCTTTTCATACTGTGACTTGCCTTTGCTGCTTCAATCTTCTTGAAGGTTTGGAGGGCCCCTCTTTCCTAGAGAGGGGAAAGCAGAGCTTGTCTGCTTTAATCCTAAAGACCTATAAAACTTAAGAATTGTTTGATTTTGAAAACTGGGAGGAGTAGTTTTATGTCTTTTGTTTCTGTACTAATTGCTCTGGTAAACTGGGCTGTGTGAAGAGAATTCTAAAACCACTGGTGACAATTAAGAGTTCTGAAGCTAATGGGAAACCTCCTTGGCCTATGTTTGCAAACAGTTTGCCCAGTTCAAAAGAATGTGTTTGCCTTACATAAAGAATTAAATCACTGTGATCAAAGAGCAAGTGCTTTGAATCTTCACAATGCAATGTCTCCCTGTGTGTGTATTAGTATTCTAGAGGCTGTTCTCCAAGCCTCATTTGAATGTCCTGGACTCGGTGCAGTACACTCGGAATGTATCAGCCAAACGTTGGCTCCTTCAGTCCTTGATCTGTTCTCATTGCCTTGGTTCAGCCAAATCTTCCACATCTCAGCTCTGCTTTGCTGGGCAAAGCATTTTCAGTGCCTCTTTAAAGCTCTTCTTTATTACATGTAAAATATACAAGGAGCTCATGGCTTTTCAATAGAAGTCTCCTAGCATTTTATTTGATGATTTATCTTTACCCCTTTTCCATCTTGATTAAAATATGCAGAAAATAAACATAATAGAGCACGCTAGGAAGGTTTTGGGTTGTATAAAGCCAAACTTCTGTTTTTCTGTTAGCTGTTGAATCAGATGGATGGATTTGATACTCTGCACAGAGTTAAAATGATCATGGCTACTAACAGACCAGACACTCTGGATCCTGCTCTCCTGCGGCCTGGAAGACTGGATAGAAAAATCCGTGAGTTGCTAGTGCACCCTGGCTGGAAAGAGGAGAATATCCACACAAATTGTGGGTTCTCTGCTTTTCTTAACACTGCAATTCTTTCTAGATATTGATCTGCCAAATGAACAAGCCAGATTAGATATTTTGAAGATTCATGCAGGTCCTATCACTAAACATGGTGAAATAGGTGAGTAGGAAGCTACCTGGATATCCCTCCTGCTTCTCTTTGTGAAAATGCAAAGAGGGTGAGTTGTTACAAGGACTCTGCCCTCCTAATTCCTTCCCTTGCTCTGGTCACACAACTTCCCCTTTCTTAGTATTATTATTTTTTTTTTTTTAATGCATCCTGACTGAGCTGTTGTTAAGTCTTCCTTTGGAAAGGAAAACTGAATATAAACCCCTGGAGCACAGGTTGTAAACTGAAAAATCAGCGTGGTTCTCATCAGGAGGTTTCCTGTTTCTAAAGGAATAGCTTGGTGCAAGAAAAAAGCATTTTCAGTAGTCCCATCTGGAAAAAGTGTTGCTGTAGAAGTCTGAAAGCAGTAAAGAATCTCTAAAGTCGTGGAGAAACTTGGAGGTGTGGTGGAAACCTTGTCTGAAAGAAAGCTTGGTTAGCAGTGTAGATCCCTCTCTCCAGAGCTTAAGGGGGAGAAGTATCAGCTAAAACAGGGGAAGTTTATTTAATGACCCTGTTCTCTGAGCTAACCAGAGTCTTAATTTCACAGTGAGGCTTCAGAGCTTTCCTCAAGAAAACTGTCATTGCCCTTTGCCTTTAAAATGACGTTGGCTGCCTTTTATTTGAGTAAGGCCTCCCCAGCCCCTGCCTGCCTGTCCCCAGCCCCTGCTGCTTTGCTGACAGGAGCTATTCCTGCAGCTGATCTCGGGCACCAGCTGCCTGCACAAACAGCTGCAGCACAGCAGAGGGGTGGCTGGGGGAGGGCCAGAGGATGAGGATGGCCTTTCTGAGCAGCAGTCTGGGCTTAAAAACGCACACGTGCGATTGTAGTTGAAGAGCAAAAGCTCCAAAGGAAATTGTGAAGCTCTGGTGGAAGTATTTCATCCTTTTTCTCCTATCTTTGGGCACTGCAGGGGGAGCAGGGTGGGATCATTCCCTTACAACGTTTAGCAAGGCGAGGTGTGAGGTGGGTACTGGTTAAATTGCTGAATGTGATGTGGGAAGACTGATGCTCAGCTTGACATCCTGGAAGGAAGGCCAGAATGCATCAGCAAGGTGGGGTGTGGACTGCATTAAAATGTGAAGATAACGACCCACTCCAGGTTCCAGCATGAAATAATTTCTAATCTCTAGGGGGTTTTTTTGACTCTTAAGATAGAACTGTTCAGTTCAAATGGTTTGAATTTCATACAGAAGGTAAACTGTTCTGAAAAGTTTTGCAGAAAGTCGAATTGAATTTTTTTAATAAGCAGCCTGGCAAAGATCAGAACTTGCTGGAGGCTTAGCAGACACAATGTTTTAGAAATTGATTCTAGAAACTGTAACCACAGCCACTTTTTTTAGTAAATATATGTGCATAAAATACCAGCTTAATCTATCAAGACATTAAATGTCTTTAGTAGATGCTGTTATAAGCAGAAACGGACTGAGCTACAATCACTTGGATATAAGTTTTATGGGGTTTACCTCATTTAAATAAGAACATTGCCTTGGTGTAGCTTTTCTTGTTTCACATCAATGCTTATAACCACAAGTTGGTGACTTTGGGATTGAATGATGTAATAATTTATGTAGTATTTTGGCTGTGATATGTTGGTGTTGTAATGAAAGGGGCAATACAGCTGATGATTTCAGTTATTTAATTTATCCATCTAGTCGACAGATACCTGTTTGTACTGAAATCAAAGTAAAGTGTTCCTTTGTTAGCTGGATATGTAATTCATTTGCATCCATAACAGAAGTGTGAATTAGTTTCTGATCAGCATTCATCTTTTATCAACAGATTATGAAGCAATTGTGAAGCTTTCAGATGGCTTTAATGGAGCAGACTTGAGAAACGTCTGCACTGAAGCAGGTATTTCCTTAGCTCTGGGTGTGCTAAGTCTTGGTTAATGCTAAAATGGCTTAAAATGATATTTTCATAGAATAGTTTGGGTTGGAAGGGACCTTCAAGATCACCTGCTTCCAACCCCCTGCCACAGGCAGGGACACCTCCCACTAGAGCAGGTTGCTCAAAGCCCCATCCAGCCTGGTCTTGAACACATCCAATGATGAAGCATCCACAGCTTCCCTGGGCAACCTGTGCCAGTGTCTCACCACCCTCACAGTGAAGAATTCCTTAAAAAAGTCTAAACTAAACCTTTCTAAATGTGTCTAGACAACACTACTTGTTGGCTGACTATCATGACATCAGTTATACTGTCTCATACAAACTAGACACATCCCAGAAACTGATTGCACCAATTTTCTTTTACCCTCATGTGAGCAAATCTCTGTGTGCTGCCTTCTCTGTTCTGCTGCTACAAGGAGCACCAACTTTGCTGTTCCATTACTCCCCACAGGTATGTTTGCAATCCGTGCCGACCACGACTTCGTCGTGCAGGAAGACTTCATGAAAGCTGTTAGAAAAGTGGCTGATTCTAAGAAGCTGGAGTCCAAGCTCGACTACAAACCTGTTTAAATTCATAATATTTGTGAATGACTGCACACAGTGTACTGGGGTAATGTATAAAAAAAGAAAAGAGAAATAATGTACCTCTTGGTTTTTATTTCATGTAACGTGTAGCTCCTAATTTGGTAACACTAGTTGCAAGGTGGATCCAGAAGTGTTTTCTGTACAATTCTGAAATACAGTATTTGTTGCAGCCCAGGTTGAGTAAAATGTGTGGAGAGATGTGTTCTCAGTGTGAATATATAAACATCCCTGAAGGGTTTAGCAGACTTTTAAGAAAGTCAGATGGTTTCTTGACTTTTTTTTATATTGGTAAATTTCCTTTCCCCAAACCGTTTATGAATAAAACTTGTTTAAATCTGCTTATCCCTGTGTGCCTTCTCTGAAACTCTTGAAGTGAGTTGAAGGGTTTCTCTTCAGAATCTGAAGAGCAGCTTTTCTCTGGTGTTGTGGTTGCACTGGAGTCAGGGAGGGAGAAGTGTGCATGCCTTCACTGCTGAAGTTTGGGAGTAGGATTTAGCTGAGTTACCGTTTAATTACTGCAAACAAGTCTTTTAAAGTGTTTGCTGTCTTCCCTGATGTAGGATAACTTCTATCTGAAATACCAAGTACAGACACAAGCATTGAAGTGGAGGACAACCAAAGCAGTTTGACACACAAACTTTGATTACAGCTTTTGGGGTGTGTCAAGATTTAGGGTCTGGGCTAGCCACCAGACCAACAAAGGCTGCTCTCTTAACCCCTCTCCCCTCCCAAAGGGAAGAGAATAAGGGAGGGAGCTTTATGGATGGGAAAAGAAAACAAACAGCTTTAATGAAAATAATAATAATAAAACAATAAATACAAATATATAGAAAACCTGTATCAAACCTAACATGATGCTGTGGTGCAGGCACTGGGGAAGTCCCAGACTGGACTCTGGAGCAGTCAGGAACTGGATTCAGCAGCTGGATTCTGGAACTGGATTCAGGAACACATGGATGGGGATTGAAGGCAGATTGGGCAGAGTCCTCCTCAGACACAGGAGAGCCCTGACCCTTATCATCCCCCAGCTTGATACTGCCCATGCCCTACCTGGGCTGGAATCCCTCGCTGGCCAGTTTGGGGTCCCCTCTCCTGGCAGCTCCTCCCCACAGGTGCCACCTCTTCCTCCCTGCCCCCCAGCGTGGGGCACAAGGCTGAGCAGTGCCCTTGCTCTGCCCAGGAGCCAGCAGCAGCCAGAGCCTTTCTGCCCAGCCCAGCCCTTGGCAGGAGCTCTGCCCATGGAGCGTTGTCCCTGCTGGGAGCAGAGACTGGCTGGGGAGATCTGCCGGGACCTTCAGCCAGGGCAGGGGCTGAGCTGAGAGGTGACATCACTGAACAGAATCAGATCTGTTCTAGCTCAAACCAGGACGGGGTGGTGGAGATATGAGAAATGTCTTTCCAAGTTCCCCTTTTGGCTGCTTTATATAAACAAAACCACACCATTTGAACCTGTGCTGCTTTAGACATGCAGTGTGGGGTATCTGACACATCTGGAGCTCCTGTGCACCTTAGGAGGTTAGAATTTGGCTGAATGTGGTTTGCCTTTGTGCTCCCTGACAGTTGACTGCTGCAGCTGTTGGAGTAATCACCAAAACAGAAATAAAAACGTGGAGGCCAGGGTGTTGGTGTTCTGAAGTGCATCTGTCACTTTGCCTTATTTTTGTTGTCCGTCAGTTCCACCCCGAGGGGTGTGCATGCAGATCTACCAGCTGCACCGTGCAGGTTATCTAAAGGTGGGACTGGAACAGTGCTGTGCTAGGCTGTACTTCAGGCTACTTCTAATTATCCTAATTGGATTACTTTGGGCATGCTTCTCTGACAGGCAAGTACATTAGATTAACTCTAGATTTGCCAGGAAACACACAGCTTAAGAGCATCTCCCTGGCAGCTTTGATAGCCATGGGTTGCCTTCTTTCCCCATCATGGTGAGATAAAACAGGCAGCATGAGGTGTAGAACAGTCCTGAAGCCCTGGGAGTGGTTATAGCTCCTTTTTGAAGGTCAGGCTATAAGCTAAGGCTACCAACAGCCATCCCCATTCCACAGCCAGAAGTAGGACCTTCAGTTGTACTGTTACTTTCTCTCCTTCACCACTTCATTTTTCATCTGTCACTGAATGGAAGTGGCAGGGTTGAAGAAGAGGTTGTTGACATGGGATTGTTGAAGGTCTCTCAAGGGGAAATAAGGAAAAATATTCAGATAGTTTGGGGTGATCTTAAAGTCGGGCAGATCATGGGATCAGGGAACCTCAAAGAGTGGAAAAATAGGTTCCTGACCCAAGACTGGTGGGTCAGAGGGTGTCTCCCATGCGCAAAGAGGACTTGTTTTAAAATGCCTATGAGTAGCTGAAAGGAGGTTCGATGAGCGGGTTGGTCTCTTCTCCCAAGGAACAAATGACAGGACAAGAGGAAACAGCTTCAAGTTATGCCTGGGGAGGTTTAGGTTGGACCTGAGGAGAAATGTCTTCCCTGAAAAGGCTGCCAAGCCCTGGCAGAGGCTGCCCAGGGCAGTGGTGGAGAGGCGTTTAAAATCTGTGTAGATGTGGTGCTGAGGGACAAGTTTAAGTGGTGACCTGGCAGTGCTGGGTTAACGCTTGAACCCAAAGACCTTGAAGATCTTTTCCAACCAAAACGACTCCACGATTCCATGACTCTAGTGCCCGATTTGCTGCACCAGCCAAAACTTGAGGCGGGCAACATCTTCCCGACGGTGGCTGAAACGATTCGCTGCCCCGGCGGCGGCAGAGCCGAGGGGGGACAAGAACGGCCCTGGAAAGCGCTCCCGGCCGCGGGTCGCCGTCACCGTGTGGGGGGTGCGTTGGAGCAAAAGGCCCGTGGAGAAAGTTTCGAACTGGGCTTCGCGAGGCGTTAATGAACGAATTCGTCGAGTTTCGCGGCGCTGCGAGGCGGACGGCGCCCGGCGCGGGGAGCGGGAAGCAGAGAACAGGGAGC